TTCGTTAGCCTATGGTTGGGCGGAGATTTTAATTCAGTAAACACAGGCCCCCAGCGTCCTATGCTGTGCCACATGGGGCCTGGACCAAATGACTGGGAGCTCAGTGCACGCCCTTGGCAGTCTCTTTCAGTCACCAGCTGCCAGACGGGATCTTTGGGGACAGGAGTGTCAACATGACTGAGTTACTCAGATGCTGCTCCAGCTCGTTGTGTTTCAGAGGCAAGAAGCTGCTCGGGCCGTCCCCTCCGCCTTGTTCCAGTGTCTGGATGGTCTACACGGAGGTGGCAGGAGGTGTCCTCAGACAAACCCTCCAGCCTCACCCCCACCGAGGCGGCGTCCCTCACCAGAGAGTCAGGACTGCTCCAGACCGCTACAGATGAGCTGGAAGTACTCTGGTTCAAGAGCCATGAGGAAATTCGTTTCAGAACAATCGAAACCAACAAATCTGTCTTCAGTTACAATGGGCAAAGCAAACATGTGCTGGGTTGTCATGAGCTGATCCGCAAGGAACCCATACTTGATTGCAACTTCTGTGTTCCATAAAGTAACATGTAGAAAGCACGTGCCAATTCACTACCGTGCCACATGCTTGGAAGTCGGGGTGTGCAAGGGCTTCGTCAATGGCACCTTTAAATAACCGGAGGCTTACTGGGGCGGCATGTACCTCCCCGGTAACAAAGGCTGACCTTACAGTTCTGCTTTTCTACAGCAGTCATCTCTGCTCAACCTCTAGTGAGTGACCCCTGGGCACTTGCACGGCCCTGAAGGTGCCCCAGGCACCTCGCTGGCCTCACCCCAGTCCCAGCCTTGCTCAAGAGTCCGTACGGGGTAGCTGTTTCAGTCTCCAGCTATCTAGCCAGCCTGCCAGAGTTCAAATCCCAGTGTAACCTGGATCAAGTTCCTCAGTCCCTCTGTTCTTCAGTTTCCTAACGTTTAAAATGGGAGCATTATAGCATTGGCTAATTTTGAGAGGATCAGGAATTAATCCAGGAAGCACTTACCACAGTGCTGGGCATACAGTGAGAAACCAATACGGTTAACTAGTACTACAATTTAGATATTGTAGTCAACCTCACCTTAAGATGCATTAGAAAAGGTAGTAACAACAGCAAAAGTGCCTTAAATTAGGTGCTGGTTTAAGAAGAGAAAAGCCCAAATGACAAAATATCTTTAAAGAAATGAAACTGCATTGCTTCAAACATGAAACAGCTCCAGCAAAGGCCAGCCATGCTTTGTCTACTACAGCTATTATGAGAAACTACCTCAGGAAGTAGAAAGGAATAATCTAGTTATTTGTAGCTCATTGCCTGCAAATACTTGTTTCTAAGGCTTGAGGGAACTTGAAACAAGTCTTTTCTTTCACACACTCTCTCAGCCAATTCATTTATTTTTATTCGTAGCTGAAGATTTTCAAATGGATGATTTCAAAGTTAAAGATAATGTAGACCCCTTTCAAATGATCAAAGATTCTGAATTAATAAAGTGAGAAGAAAAGAAGGCAGACCACTTGGGGGATATGACCTCCAACGCTTTTTCCTCCAGAATCCTCCAACTATAGAGCATCATTCGAACTCACTGAACTATCATAATATAGGTCCAAACAAATTGTACCCTCTTCTTTTATCAAAATCAAATCTGAAAGGAATCCATGTGCAAGAATTGCCTGGGCAGAGTGAGGGATCTAGAAGGGGAATCACTGTAACTTCCAAGACAGCTTCACAGCCTGGACCACATCCAGAATGACCCAGTGAGTGAAGTTCCCTTCCATCAGACTCCATTATTTGCACCCACACAGTGACCATATGGCCAATATATAAAAATGAGTCTGTGATTCCGGGGCACTTACTGAGGGATACTCAAGCAGGAGTGCACACCCAAGTCCCTCAGAGTATTTTATTAGCAACACCAAGTGCCGCCCCACATGCACAGTCTCACTGAACTCTTGTATGCACGGTCTCAGTGAACTCTCGTAAGAGCCTGGAGGGGGGAGGTGGGCAGGTACTATTAATATTATTGTCATCTCATGAGGAATGGAGCCATGAAATGTCTTTCCCGAGATCATTTAGCTTGTGAGTATAACTGGGATTCCAACCTGCACAGTCTGGGTTCAGTGCCTACTGCCTCAAATTATTATGCAACCTCCAAATGGCCAGTGAAACCTGTTGAGAAGGGCATTTAGAAAAAGTACAAGTCACCAGCACCAATCAGACACTCTTAGAACAGATAAGTATACTTGGATCGATGAGACAGCAGGTCACATTGGATCAGTTTTTCCAGTCCTTAGCCTTCAATTTGGTGCAAAACCCTTTCAAGGTTCCCAGAAGGTGAAAGCAGGCTCAAATGAATCTGGGGTCCTACAAACCTTGCTTTTTAGGTCTTATCCTAAGAGGAAAAAATTAAAAAGGGACAAGCCTGGGGGACAGAGACAAGAGGACTGTGAAGTGTGGGTACCATGTTAATGGTTATGGTTCAATGCCATCCTATCTCTATGGTCCACTTGTCTTCCTCTCTCTCTCTCTTCCATGAAAGCACAAGTCATCATGTTCATTTGGCTACAAGTCGCTTAGAATGGAGGGACAGAGCACTGAGTGTATCCTCTTGCTAGGACTTGGGTCATTCCAAGTTCTTAAAATACCGAAAGACTTTTCCCACAGAACGTAGGTTGTTGGTTGTTGTTTTTTGTGTTTTGTTTTTTTTTAAATTCCCTTAAACTTTTGTTTTCTAGAATTGCTTTTTAGCCAATGAAAACATATCCGATGCAAGAATCAGTTAACCATAATGTATAATTCACAATGATGGAAATTTTAAAAGTCCCTTTTGGGGGAGAGAAGATGTATTCCAGGATCTATGGTGAGTTTGGGACTTCCCCAAAACGCTCAGTGACGTTTCTCACACTCTTCCTTCTGACACCTTTAGTCTTGAGGACCGCCAATGCCACACGGGGTGATGGTATGTGTTTGAGGAAGGGAGGGGAGGTATACAAGGCCCTACACAGAATGCAAGACACATGGAGATGAATTATAAAACTTTATTGGCTTGTTAAAAAAATGAATGAATTCAGCAAGTACATTTATGGTCTATCCACATTGTTAAAACAGCACTTAAAAATAAAATAAAAATGATTATCCATTATTTACAGGAAACATGAAAAAATGACTTTAAAACCCTGGAACATTATGGAGAAAAACAGGACATGCTTATGATTCACAGACTGCCTATGGATTACAGCAAATGGATTTGAACAGGAAGTGAATGAAACCCAAGGATTTGTCTTTCTCTGGAAGCTCTTGCTAGTTTTTTTCCCCATTTTTTTTTTTAGCTTTATTGAGGTGTAATTAACAAATAAATGTGTAAGACAGTTAAAGGGTACAATGTGATGATATGATATACCTAAACATTGTGAACAGAATCTCTCGCTCTTTTATATTTGATTATGCTCCATTCATAAATGGAAAAATAAAGGGGGTGAAAATCTCTGTTCTTTCCTTTGCTTCTCACACATTTTTTTTTCCCCATGAAAACTAAGATAGCATCCTATCTTGGGTGCTCAGTAATGACCACCCCAAGACTCCACTGCAGCACTCACCTGAATGAAATCCAGAGTGATCTCACCGTCAGAATCAGATGGCTGGGGGGTTCCCTTGTCCCTGATGACCAAAACAAGGAAACGGACTAACCCAAGTGGAAAGCCGCCTTCTGTGACAACTGTTTTCATGTCACTCTCTGGGCTGGGAGTTCTGTCCACTTAATTCCATCTGGCAGCACCCCACGGAAAATTATATTCTTGCCCTGTCCAGAAGAGTCCTTAACCTTCCCAGGTGCCCTGGAATAAACCTGACATGGCTCGTGGGCACCGCAGGTGTGTGAACACAGCAGAACTCATTTAATGAAATGGTGGCCTCTGCCCAAGTGTCCTTGGAGTCCAGTCTGCGGGACCCCAGGGGGACCTCTGACCTTGGCTAGACAGGAAGGGCACAGCCCACATGGCTGGCCACAGCCGCCCTGTGAAGGCACCAGATGACATGAGTCCTGTCTCTCCCTCTGCATCTGGTCTGGACAAGGCAAGGTGAAATGAGCATCTACTGTTGTGTGAGGGGATGAGATGAAAACCAGGGAGGAGTGCTAGACAGAAAGCACCAGAATAGTGCAAGAGTGCATCATCCGCTCCACGGTGGCATGAGAGAGGTTAGTTCAGGCTCCATTCGTGTTTGGTCCCATTTTGCAATGAACAACAACAACAACAAAAAAAAAGCGTGTGCAAAGCAACCAAGAAAGCAAATGAAAACAAGCCCCCTGTTTGTCATGGAGTCAATTTAGATTGCTAGAGAGAAAGAGAGAAAAGTCAGGAATTCTAAGCAGATCGAGAGAAAAGGAGAGACGAAGCTGGAGCGCCTCCATCACGCGCGCTCCGGCACCTGGCAGCGAGCTGAATTCCTGTCTTGTTCTCCTTGAGCTGATTGCTCCTCAGACTGTCCAACAACCATGGCCTCTGCTCTGTCTGGGGGGAGCCTCAAGCCCCAACCACTCGGGGTGTCCTTCAGAAGAGTTGGAAGCAGGGGCCAACCCCTCTGCGCCCTGTGTGGCAGGGTGGGGCTGAGACTGTTTCCTTCTCCTCTGTGCCCCCTACTTTTGGAAAGAACATTCGATGAGTCAAAAATGAAATGGGGGGGCGCCTGGGTGGCTGAGATGGTTAAGCATCTGCCTTCGGCTCGGATCATGATCCCAGAGTCCTGGGATCGAGCCCCACGTCTGGCTCCTGGCTCAGCAGGGAGCCTGCTTCTCCCTCTGCCTCTCCCCCTGCTCATGCTCTCTCTCTCTCTCTCTCTGTGTCTCGAATGAATAAATAAAATCTTTAAAAAAAAAAAAAATGAAATGGGTCTGGGCTGGGAGACCAGGAGTGAAAACCCAAGAATTTCTCCCATCGGGAGATGCACCTTCTTTGACCTCAAACTGGTGTCTCTGGGGATGCCAGTGGGAGATCCTTAGTCTGTCTCAGTGGCCTCGGAGGGTCTCAGTGGGACCCCATTCAAGACACAGGGCCTGAACCACACCTCTTGAGGTGGCAGGCCTATTTCCCATTTACCAGTGGCCACACCAGTACATCAAGGACCCATGAACGGGGCTGTGTGCGCTCCCATCAAACCCCATCCAAGTGGGCCAGACGACAGGGACCCTGATGAAAGGAAGGCCCATGTCAGACAAAACAGGAGGAAGGACTTGCTAGGTGGTCTCCCGCCACTCAGAAGTGGGGCCCATTGGGGACGGAGGGAAAACAGTGACTGAGGGTGACGGAGCCAAGGCCCCAGCTAGCAGAAGTCACAGGAGAGCCCCGATGGGAAGGGACACGCTGCAGATCCCTCGGGCACCAAACTCCACAGAGAAAAAGCTCTCAATGGCCATGCTGGGAAGTGCGTTTGCAAAGGGAAGATAGTAGGAAACAGAGAACAATGATGTTGCTTTAAGACAAAAGTAACAACCTGGCAGCCCACAGACATGTTTTGTTGGCCTACATAATGTTTTAAAAATAACCGAGCCAACTTTTTAAAAATAGGGACATTTCACATTAAAAAAAAAAAAAAAAAATCCAGGTTTCCAGTTTCTCTTAAAGAATCAGAAGATTTGGGAAACTGGGGCCCCATTCCCTGGAGGCAGGAGTTGGCTCTGCAGGGCTGGGTGTCCGCACGCCCAGCGCGCACCCTTTCCGAACGGCACCTGCCTGGCACTGAGACACCAGGTCCCGGTTGGGGGGCAATGGACTTGATTTCAGCAAAAATGCTGCCTGTCGTTTTCTAATGCTGAAAAAAATACATGATACGTGTCATTAGGAAGCTGTAAAAAGATGTCTTGTAGGGGACATAAAAAAGCAAAGGATGAAAGAGGGTGGTCTAGAGGATAGAAATGAGAAGATATGTCACTGACTGTGGTCTTCGGGGATTAAAGAAAAATGAAAAGCGAGGAACACAAGAACCATATGAAACAATTTTCTAATAGCCTGCTGTTTTCATCGTTCCCTAGGAGATGTCAACTGCTCTTTGATATATTAAATTGCCTTATCTGTCCACTTCTCTCCATTTTAAAACAAAAATCTACCCTGCAAGTCTTCTAGCTGTTGAATACAAATATTCTTCTTTTTTTTTCCTTTTGGGTTTGGGAAACGTAGAAAATAGTTCTTAAACAATTCATTGCCTTTTTCTGGTTCCATGGAATAAGATCTTAAGGGTTTAAAAAAAAAACAAAAAACAAACTTGCACCGAAAGGCTGATATTTAAGAATGCTTGGGGTACTGATCACCTCTGGTCCACCCTCTGTGTGAATTTCCTTTTCCTTTCAGGGTTCAAGGTTTCTGCAATTAGCTGGCCTCTTTGTAAATCAACAACTTTGGGAGAGATCAAAATCTAAGTAGTGACAGGACCTGTCATTTAGCAGTGAGCAAGCAAATGGGAATCCAGGGAATATTCAGACCCCCCCACACCAAAGGCCCGTTGCTCTCCCCACTCAAATGTGTCTTTGGAAAGCACATGTTTGAGAACAAGCAGCCTGTGTATGCTTCAGAGAAACTGCCCCTCTCTGAGGCAGGGGTATGGAGTAGCCAAGTTCAATGCTGTAATCCATAGGACCCTGTGAAATGTCTGTATCAAGTAATAACATATTTAGTGGCTAATGTAAAAGATACAGTATAAAATATTCATCATGGATAATCCTTTTATATCAAGTGGTGCCTAAGTGGATCCTGGTTTATTAAGATTAATGCCTCAGTTACACAGGACGCAAAACAATGTTTCCAAACATGTCGGACTAGTAAAAAAATCTAGAAATCCTTAAAGCTGAACTGCAAAACTTAAGTAACTATTTCAAAAAAAAAAAAAAAAAAGAATTTTTTCAAACGTCTGTAAGTTTCCAATCCAGCCATGGCGTCTCTGAGCATGCCTTCACGGTTAGAGCTGATCGTGCTTTCAAGCGAAATGCTCCAGGCCTGGCTCTGTCGCCCCCCTCCCGAGGAAAGTGTGAGGTGGGCTGGGTCGAGGGCAGCCGAACCTGTCTGCAGGACAGGGATCCTACCTGGCACAGGCTGAGCAAAGCGGACAAAGGTCACTGCAATGGCCAAGCGAGCAAAACAGGTGTCCGTGACAGGACGAAGGCAGGGACGCAGGATTCTGTAGCTCCCAGGCTACCCTCTCGGCAATGAGGCTGGACCTGATAAAGCGCACGCTCATTACCCCTGTGCTGCTGGGGTCAGGGAGAGGCTTCCTGCCCATGAAAACTGTAGTATATAGTATCTATCCTTCTTAGAACATGGTCTCCTGCTCCCAGCAGGCCAGCCATTCTGCCCGCAGACCTTTTCAGAGTAGAAAAGCTGCAGTTCTGTCATGGGAACAGCATGAGATACTGCGGCCTTCTCACTAGGAAACTTCTAAAAAGCAGGTGGATCACAGGGGGCAAATAAAAGGACATGTGCGCCATATGTGTCTATTTCACTCTTGTAGTTATTCTGAAACTGACTACGCGTAACCTAAATCTAGAGCCCCTGACCACAGAGCTGCTTTTATTTTTCACCTGCTAACAAACTTTAGAAAAATCATTAGCGTTGATTGCATGACTCTGGACCTTTATCACCAGCGAAGGAAAGAACCTCTCAGTGGCCTGGCCAAGTCCCCACAGCGATGCCCTTAACTTTCTCAGTCGATGTGTTGTAGACGGGAAAGAGAGACTTTCTGAATTCAGTCTTCATTAAACATCAACAGAAAATAATGCTAAACTACGTGTTACGTGGAGGTTAGGCTGTTTAGTGTGTTCTTATACCTGTCCCTAAACTTAGATTTTTTTTTTTTTTAAACTTTGTACTTCACCTTTAATGAACAGAAACAGTAAGAATCATTACATTTCCAGTATGGTCAAGGAGCACTCCTTTCAGAAGAGAAGCAAAGCCAATGGAATCCCATGTCAATTTCGTATTTGAACAATTGCAAGAACAAAAGAGAAGCATTAATTTAAGATGTTTTCTTGAGTGTTTGCTTAGCAGCCTGGGAGCTGCCTCTGCAGCGGGGCTCCCCAGACAGAGCTCAGGACAGCCGCAGGCTTCACACAGGACGTCCTGCAAACACCACCCACAGCTACCAGAAAACCCCCAGCTAAGCGGCCCCTCCCGGGAGAAGCCAACGCCCGTCCCAAGAGTCCGGCTTACAAGGCAGCATCAACCAACAAGCACCACAGCCCCCTTCTCTGTCTTTGCCTTTATTTCAGCTACCCATCCAGTGGGATCTTATGAAACAAAACAAAACCTAAAAGAAACACAAAATAAAACATAAGTCATGCTCAAAACAAAAAATCAATGAAAATTAACATACAAGTACAATCACTTTTAAAAAGAACATAATAAATAATCAAAATCAAGACACAACATAGAATATGCTTTAAAACATAAAGGAATAGATAATCACAGAAAGAAAATTGGGAGAAAAACGTGCATCTCATTGTCAAGCCACTTAGTTTTAAACTTCAAACCGATCTTATGTGGCCCAGGAAACACTGGAAAGATGTGCAAGGGATTTCTGCACATAGCTCTGCACAACAGTCTCAGATGTTAACATCTTAATCTAAGGAGGAGAAATCTGTGTTCAATAGAGATGAGTCCTGGAGAATTTTTATGCACAGTGAAAAAAAAAAATAAAACTCTACAACGAATATCTATCCAAATCCTGATTTTTCTTTCCCCACTTAATTTCATCAAGTTATTTCAAAAATAACAGATCAGAAAACTGGCTAGCTTTAACTGTGAAATACTGGACCACACAAAGATTTAGATTCTTTTCCAGGAATCCTAGTATTAAATAATTAATTGCCTTAAATCACTTAAGTATCATACCATATACATGACATGCACACACAGATAGATGGAATATCTATTATATAACACACAATATACAGCATACAACATGTGGTATATTGCCTGTATATATATATATATATATATATATATATATATATATATATATATATATACATAGCATATATAAGACATAGAGTGTATGTTAATTAATGTTAATTAATCCTGCAAACATTAATTGAGCAGTGACCAAATAGTAGACACTACAGTAGATGATACAAAAATAAAGAAAATGGAATTCCTTGGCCTAAAATACTGAACCACCCCACAGATGGAGAAAGATGAGCACACCACTTGCACAATAAACAACAGCTAATCCACTTGGTACCAGGCTTTCTTCTAAGCGCTTTGTCCAAATTAGCCCTCTTAAGTTCACAATAACCCTATGAGGAGGGTGCTATTATTGCTCCCACTTTCCTGGCGAGAAAACTGAGGCCCTATGAGCAAAGCAGCTTGCCGGAGGCCCGACAAAGCATGGGCCAGAGCTCAAATTCTGACCCAGGAGCTCGTACTCTGCGGTCACCCTGCCCTGTCACTGTCAGAAGGACAAAATCCCTTCAACTTCACTAGGAAAACCCAGCGAGAACAGGGGAGACTCATCACATTTAGTTCTCTGTGTGCAATCTGCATGAAGCTTCCTCAGATCCCTAAGTGACAACATCGATGACGTCGTTGCAGCAACCCCCAAGACATGTTCAGTTCAGCTTCGGAAGGCACTTCTAAACCCAGCCCTCCAGACTCTGGATCTTCCTCAACCTGGCATCTGGTCTGCCAAGCACTGGTGTCATCTGCCTCCAGAGCTGTAATTACCACCACCAATCTGTATCATCATTTACAACAGCACTCGAAGAGTCTACAGAGCTGAATTTCCATGGCTCTTCTCTCTCCCGCCCTTCCAAGTCTCAGGAAAAGCGCTCGGCACGGACGCCAAACATCGCTTATGGATTTAATCACCCACAAAGCACTGAGCATGCAGGATGCACACAGTGGTGCTGATGAAGACTCCTCCGTTTCTGACTTTAGTCTCTTTTCTCAAAGTTCAGCCTCCAGGCAAGCATAAGCCACACTGGTTTCAGAGTGCACTCGGACACGTAGAACAAGCCTGCCGAATTAACTAACCAAACACCTTCAGGCTCTAAGAGGGTGGGTCTCAAATTCCTTCCCACTGAAACAATAGGATTAATATTAGGATATCAAGTTTGCCAATAAAAACAGGAGGAACTTGGTGATACAAAGAGAAGACATCATCCCCAAAACAAAAGACTGGCTGATTCAATATACCATTCTCTCTGCACATTCAATTTTGAAAAGCATTTGATATTAAAATACTAATAATAACAGAACGGACTAAACTGTTAAAGTGAGCCTTATTTCCTTCCAATGGGTTTATGGCACAGGAACTCTTAAGAGTTTACTCATCTCAGAGTGTTTACAGCAGGCCCCAAGCCACCCTTCCTCTGCTTCGATTTGCCATTTTCCTCCCCGAGGCCTACCCAAGCTCGTTATTACAGTTTGGGAAACAATTTGCTTTGCTAGATGCGAGCTCTCGGGCTGCCATTCACTCAAGCTGCAACTGCATCCAGCCCTACTTAAACGGATGTCAAGTGTCCCTCTTGAACCTCCTTCTGCTTTGCCTTTCGTGATGCATCCTTCTCCAAGAACCGTACCTCAGCGCCACACACCCACGCCACGAGGGGAGTAAAGCCAACCAGAATAACACACACGACGTCTTCCTTGGGAGGAAAAGCCAGGCTGTTGCACTGATAAGCCATGTGCCGTGTCTGCATTCAAACTGCTACTACGGCCTCCGCCTCCAGGAAGGCAAGTCAGACTCCTCTCCGATACCCTTGATCTTCACAAAACAGTTGACGCACTAAAGATACGCCACCAGATAGGGAAAAACCAGTCTGATTTCAAGACTTGACTCTTTTATACGGAAATGTACCGGGTGCTTCATATTTCTAAGGAGCTGAGAGGAAGATTCCATCAGGGCCCCAATTTACCTACCAAGACCTCCTGACTTTTGCCCACTCATGTTACCAGAAACTCAAGAAAGGGGCCACAAAATGATATCAAACAATAGATCATTATTTTCTCCTAGTGAGGGGGAAAGTTTTTAGACCACAACAAATGGCTGAACATCTTGAGGGTTTAGCAGCCAAACGAGCTGTCTAGCTTCTGAGCCTGAAATATAGATATTTTGACAACGTGACATTCTGAAGGATTTGCAGCATTCCGATGGTGCATGGTAGTTATCATGAGAATGGCTCTTTTATCAAAAAAACAAAAAACAAAAAACAAAAAACCAAGAACAAGGATAAAGCAGGCACTGTCAGAAATGGGATGTAAAGTCGAAAGCAGAGAGAAACCCAGGATGTGTCCTAAAACTCTGTCTCTGCTACTTGCTGATTTTGGATCTGCTCACTGACCTCTTCAAAGGGATGGGCGGGGCGGGGGAGGTGAAGGTCAGCGCAGCACTGTGCTTTCTTTACCGCTGGCTTCGGACCCATTTAGATTTATTTACATTCAAACGTGCACACATTTCCCTCCTATAACTCAGAAGCAATCAGCCATAAAATGGCAAGGATCTGCAGTACATTTAAATTAGCAGCAATTTATCTGGAGCAAAAAGGAAAACTGCTGAGTGGAAAGGAAGCGAAAGGAACGGAAGAAAGACGCAGCTGTTTGTCTAAAAAAGCAAGTCTTAACTCATTTGGAGAATTCAAGTAGCGAACTGCCGACTTGGGCGTCCGCGTGGCATGGTGCCACTTTGGAGACCGGATGGTGGCCAGGGTGTCGGTATAGCCGTTGGCTCACCTTCATCAGAGAGCAAAGCAAAGGCTTCTTGAACCTTCCGGAAAATGTCTACTAAGTAAAATCAAAGGATAAATTCCTATGTTCTCATAACATTAGGTGCCTAGAACCCAGCGGGTGCAAAGAGCTTTCCATTGCCCTTTAGACTTGAGCTGGGTGCAATCCTGCTTTATTTCAGCACCGGGGCTTAAACACCCACTGTCCTACTTTGATATTTGTTGAGCATCTAATATAGGTTTGTTGTTACACCAACTATTCCTTGCCATTTGCCTTTTCTATTTTATAGGTGACTCCCTCGACCCGCATGGCCAATGTGATGTGTCCAAGGTCACCCAGGAATGGAGTGAGACAGCCAAAATCTAAACTTGGACTCTCTGGGCCATCAGTCTATCTTGTGAAGTGGCATCGCCTCTTGCACCTCTAGCAGAAATGTCCCAACACATAAGCCAGGTCCTGGCGTGTCCTTCTCTGAGCTCATTCCAGAAGTTGCTTCACCATCCTTTAGACCCCTCTTTCCCTTCCCGGGGACGTGCTTTGTCCACGTGCTATCTCTTGCCCTAATATCCCCTTCTACCCAGCAAGCTCTCCTTATAGAAGCCTTGACCATGCTTGAAGGTCCACGCAAAAGCCATTTCTACGAGCATTTAGTTGACCGGCCTCTTAACCTCTATGACATTCAATTCCATTCATTCACATAGCCTACGTTTGTACCTTTTTAAACTTGCATTTCTTTTCTGTCTTCTTCCCTGCATCCCAGACTATAGGGCGCAGGAGGGCAGAGAGAGCACGTCCAGCCATCCTCTGTGCCAACAATGCCTTGAACAATACCAAGGGCTGAATGCATTTTGAGTTTGAGAACAGTGATGTCTAAACTTTGAGTTTTATGGAAGGACTTTGCTGTACTTGGTAACAGAACCAAAATGGAGGGGGGTGGAGTGCACAACACAAGGTAGGATCTACTATTTCTCCCTGGTAACTGGGCTAATCAACACACTTCAAAGCTTCCTGCAAAAAATCCCGTATTTGCTCAGAAGTATAGTGAAGGTTACCATTAGGCACGTGGACACCCAGTAAGTGCCTCCTGAAGCATTTTGAGCTCCTGGGGAAAAGGTGCTAGACTTATTCTCATTCTTGTGATGATCAAAACAACTGTGGGCATTGGACAAAGTAAACCGCTGTCCATTTGTTCGCTGAAGATGAGCAACTAAAAATAAGGATGATCAGCGAGGCTTTTAAAGCTCTAGTTTGACTTTACAACACGAAGTTGAGTTATGAGCTGAAAGTTAAAGCAGGAAACACAAAGTTCTTGGCAAAACTCGATGGTGTAAGGAAAGCCAAAACTATTGCACAATTAAAACTCAGTGATTTGGGCGCCTGAGTGGCTCAGTCGGTTAAGCGTCTGCCTTCGGCTCAGGTCATGATCCCAGGGTCCTGGGATCGAGTCCCACATCGGGCTCCCTGCTCAGCGGGAAGCCTGCTTCTCTCTCTCCCACTCCCCCTGCTTGTGTTCCCTCTCTCACTGTGTCTCTCTCTGTCAAAAAAATAAATAAAATCTTAAAAAAGAAAAAAAAACAACTCAGT